GCCCCAAACGGCCCATTCCAAAGGCAGCGGGTGCCCTTCGCTCCAGGGCAAACCCCAAGGACAGTTTTCCTCAGCTGGGCCCACAGTTGAAGGCAGGCGGCCTCAGCTTTCCTCAGGGTCCAAACACGGGGCCCCCCTCTCATGGACCAGCAAGAAACTGACACTTAGAAGGCCCTGCTTTGACGGTCCCACTTTGAGCAGGGGTTGGACTAGATCAGTGGTTCTCAAAACTTTTTTGTACCATGACCTATTTGTAACATCAATGACCAGTCCCAACCCAGTGCCCCTCACTTGTGACCCACCGCCCCCAGGCCTCAGCCCTCCCCAGTGTGTGGGGTAGAGGGTGGGTATGGAGGCACAGGGGGCTGCAAGCAGCCCCTGCCAGCCTGGAACTGTGCTGGCCTGCAAGGGAAAAACCACCGTTTCCCATGTTCTCCTTCAAAGAAGAATCCATTTTTAAAGTTTCTTTGTGACCTTTTCATATATTGTTGCAACCCCACAGGACTAGATAACCTCCTGATGTCCCTTCCAGCCCTAATTTTCTGTGATTCTGAGATCCGCAGCGAGTGGCAGCAGACCTCTACACAACGCAAAGCCACACCTTCCCTCACAGCCTTTAAAGTTTCGTCAGAGGGAAGGTGAAACAGTAGCTTAGTACGTGACTGCTCAAGTGACTGACTCATGTTTATTGGATATGAATCTGCACATTTGCAAAGGCCACAAATTAGTCCCACACCCTCTCCAGGTGCCACGCCTCTCCCTTTGCCCCGTTCTGCTTTCTGCTCCTTGTTCTGTCCTCCCTGACCAATCTGCAACTCCTTTCTCCTCTCTGCCCTACCTGCTACTGAACTGCCTGTTCCCTCTCTGATATGGTGCATGCCACACAGGCAGCCTGTGTCACTTGTGGCTCCCGTACCACAGGTTGGCTGTCCCTATCCTAGAGGATATGCTGAAGGACAGATTGGTTTGTGGTACTTTATTGCTAATAGCAATAGCAATATCGTCATTAAGGGAGTAATGTCATCCTACACTGGAACCAATAACAAGGATCCTCAAACAATGATAACCTGTACTTGAAGAGGTTTGGACATGGTGAGATATATTACCAAACCTCTGCTCCTGGCTTTCAAATAAGCTACACACCTGTTCCAGCTTGTCATCAGAAACAAACTCCCTGCTGGCCAGCAAACCCCAAGAAGTACATGCCACTATCATAAGAACAGAAGCAAAACCTATCAGCACATCTTCACTGCCATCACAATCAACACTCACCAGAATGAAACCATCAGAATCTATGAATCCTACATGTTTATCATAGCATGTGGTACACCTCATCTAGTGCACTAAATGGCCTCATAGAAACATTGTGGGTAAAACTAAACAACTGCTAAGTTCTAGAGTGAGCAATCACAGAAAAAAGATAAAGGATCACCAAAGAGTATAAGTAACCATGCTCAAAAGAACAAGCCTAATTACACAGCTGGACTAAACAGGACCTAGTATGCACATAAGTGGCACTAAGGCTAGCCACTAGAAATCTACAGTGCTGAATGAAATGGATCAGCTGTGCCATGATGTGTTGAGGCACAGCTGATTTGCTTCACTGGATGAAATGGACATCACCCCTTGCTCTGCCCTTGATGGTGCAGGACAAGGGCAATGTGGTCTCCAGAGGCAGTTTTGTCTGAGCAGGGAAAAGGCTCCCTTTCCCCACTCAGTCAGCCTCATCCCTTGTGATGACAGGAGTAAGTGTGGCTGTGTGGGGAAAAGCCCTGTTATTTTAACTCAGCCAGACCCATCTCCTTCAATCATGGGGAACAAGTCTGACTGAGCAGGATACAGGACTGGGTAAGTGGGGTGCCTTTCTGTAAGCAGGGAAAGTGGGCAGGTACTATGGGGACTTGAGGGGCCAGAGGATCTGGAGAGTGCGATCAGCTCAGGCTGCCCCTACTCTTCCACCACAGAGCTAATAAAGGTCTGCTGCAATCAAGCAGCAGGGCCTATTACTACTTTCTGTTACACCACTGTTTTCCCTTTGATGTGGTGTGACAAAAGATAATGACATCTATTTGCTCATAATTTGTGCTGCTATAAAGATTTTTATGGTGGCACAAATGAGACATTTGTTTCCACCCTAAGTGCTGCTAATGCATCTATAGTTAATCATGTAAGTAACACACAGGTGCTTTTAGGCACAACTGGTAGTTGGATGGTTTCACAGAGAATGCCTACAGAAGGGGTGGCACAAGAATTCCTGAGCCTGCCAAGTAGGTCTGTATTATTACAGGCAAGCCTGGATAATGACAAGTGATTATCACTTGAAAGAGGTGTGTCCACTTATTTACATTATTAAATAGTTAATTTAATAAATATAACCATTTACATTTTAAAATAATGAAATTAATTTAATTTAAAACTAATTCTTAGTTTACAGCCTGTCTAAAGTTAACTGAAGGCAGGGTTGAAGGGATTAACAGAATTGTATGAAATGAAGCCATGTTGTATGAAGTGTGCTGTCCCACCCCGATCTTGCAAAAGATAAAAGGATAACCAGTGTATGATTCCCATGTTATCTCTACAGTTTTTTTCAAAAGACAGGTAAAAACATTTGCTATGTTCCAGTTAGCACTTGGCTGTATTTAATGAAAGACTGTATATGTTTGTGAGGGACTTGGCAATTTCAGTCTTGAGAACTCTTTGGATAAAACTCATCCCTCAATTCAGTCACCTCAGTGTTGTCACAACCCAAAGGGTGTGATTTTTGTTTTTGTGTGCTTCGGCACTGCTAAATTGTTCCCACTAAATTATAGCTTCTTTGCACAGTGGAGTTTTCTGCTGCAAAAGAGAACCCCGGTGCAAGGGAGAATTTCCCGCCAATTTGAAGCTTTCCTTGCAGGGTGCATTTCTTTGTTGCAGCACAGAAATGCTCGTTGCAAAGAGTTCCTGCCATTTGTATGCTAATTTGAGCCCCATTATTGACCAGTTCTAAATTATTCACACATGGCGGCTAGTGATTGGCTTGCTAGCCGTATAAAAGGCTTGAGTGGTTTCTGCCCAAGTTGGAGGGCTCCATGAACACTGGAAGGAGGAGACTTCATGCTGTGTGAAGATCTCTAAGCGCTGTGGATCCTTACGGACCCAACGCATTTCAAGCAGGCAACAGAGGTCTGATCAGCCTCTAGCCTCTCCCCGTCGCCGATAGACTCCTAGACGTATCCCTCCCTGCGCGCAAAAGAACCAGACCCACGAAGCCTAGCAAACTTCGTGTGGATGAGTGAGCAGAAGGACCCACGGAGCCTAGCAAACTTCGTGTGAGTTTATTCAAAGCTCTTTCGGACGAGTACTTTCTTCGGTTGACACGACGGGCTCACGTGTTTAGAGCCCTCAGCCGGATTGGGCTAGAGTTCACGAGTTTAGAACTCTTGTCCGCTTCTCTTTCCTGTCTGTAACCGCAACTCAAGCAAGTTTTCCAGCCTATACCATGACTATCTTTGGTGTAAGTAAACAATCTTTAAAACTACCGCTAAGCGTTTGTGCCTAATTCCAGCTCATCGCCCTCCCTCTCCGATCCAGCGTGCCCGGGCTGCTGGCCACAGCCCGCGTGCAGCACGGAAAAGGGCTCGGGTCGCTCCCGGCCCGCACAAGTGTCTAAGAATAAATCTTCTAAAGGCTGCAAACAAATGTCACTTCTGTACTACCATAATAGTTGAAGTAGAATCTCACCTTGAATGTTTCATTTGCATCACTCTTAACCAGTATAACAGGGTGGTCTGGCCCTTTAGGAAGGAACAATCAGCCCTGTTGAGGAATTCCAGCTCTGGGGCATTTGGATAGTGAGGGAGTGTCCTGCTGGGAGTTTAAAACCCTAGGGGAGAGAGCAGAATGGGAGCAAACTGTGAGGAAATAGTTTGTAAGCCAGAGACAAGCTGTGAACAGAACAAGCCCATGATTTTTCATTACAGGATTCTATTATCAGTTATTCAAACTTTTACCAAATTTTATCCATTAGATCTCAGATTTCCCATGCTACATGTCTGCTTTCAAGTGATTTCACTTGTGTCTACACATGATCACCAGCGATGTCACTATAGCAGCACATTCCCCGGGTATACTGTGTAACTACAATGACATGGCAGCAAAATTTACCCATGTGCCGTGCACACAGCACAGTAGCCACACAACATGTATACGTGCCCCAAAAATCCTAGTTTTCAGGTGCTTGGTAGGCATCAGAATTTGGCACCTAAATACTCTAAAGATTCCCTCTGCACTGAGCATACAAAAGTATCTTCCTATCTCCACACAGCTCCTCAGTACAGTCCCACCCCTTGTTAAGGCCATGGCTCCTCGCTCCTCTGCAACCCACTCACTCACTTGCAGGAGGAGAGTGCTGGAGTCACACAAGAGGCCGTCTCCATCTTCTCCCTTCCTGTCCTTGATATCACAGTGTACCTGGTTGCTTCTTCTCTCTTTGCTTCCCTGCCTCCTTCGCTATCCTTCTTCCCACTTCTTGAAAAAGGAAAGCCAAGGGCCTTTTGACAGCTGGCTCTGGCACTGTGCAGCCCAAATTCATCCCCAGAACAGGTCTAGCCTATACACTGGCTGAGGCATGGGTCCTGTGGAAAAAAACAGCAGGTGATCCTGTAAGCAGGTAGGCTCACAATATTCACATTGTATAAAGGAACCAAATTAAGGCTGTACATGCAGCTTTAATTTTGGCAGCTCGTAACCTTGCAGCACTCACCTGGTATGTTTTAATGGACCTCTTTGGGCATGTCCTTAAAGAAAAGGGTCACTCCAACCCTGACACAAAACCCAGGACATAACATATCCTAACCTGAGAACTATTTGGATGTTACTCTTTCTTCATAACACTGTCACTTCAGTGTCTTAAGAATCACTGTTACTCGGAAGTCAGGGTAAGAAATTTCCTCAATGATCATAGTTGTTAAGAATGATACAAACAAAGCTTTCAGGGCCAAATTTTTTTTCCCCTGTTAGGTGCCTAAGTGTAAAAGTGCATGTGTAGACTGAATCTGTCCTTGTGGAAGAGAAGGCAAGACAGCAGTTTTTCAGATACCTGAAGGGCTGCTATAAAGAAAGAGAATGCCTTTTCTTTTTTTGTGCCTACAGGCATTTAGGGCCCTGCTCTAACTCATGGCACTACCCTGGATTGGGAGAAGCCAGACTGGGCTCGTGAGGCAAGGGGGGCTCCTTTTCATCACCCACCCACGCCTCTTGACAGTGGCAGTAGTAACTGCCAGCTCGGCTTTGCCTGGTGGAGGGGTGCGGGCGGGGCATGGAGCCCCCTTGCCTCATGGGCCTGGCTCAGCTCCCCCCAGTACCCCAGCCAGGGTAGCTGGGGGGCACAAGGTGAGGGGGCTCCATTCCACTCTGCCCGCCCTCCCAGCTCCAGCCAAGCCCAGCTGGCAACTGCCTGCTGCTCCCTCCCCCCCGCCCCTTTCCTTGCTGACAACCCCACAAAGCATGAAAAATTAACTCTGGAGGGAATACAAGCTCCCTAAAGTGCTCTGCTTTAGAGCACCTTCATCTAATACCTCATTTGAGAATGGTTAATTTTTCTCACAATTAGCTATTTTAAAAGTGCTCTGCAGCCATGCACATGTTACATCACAGCCATAGAGAATTATCAGGGGCCTGATTGCACAAAAAATGTAACCTGTGTAAGCATCCTTTGTTGCTGCAGAGAACAGGATGCAGATCAATGGCTTGTAGTTGCAACCAAGTAGGTTTAGATTGTATGTAAGGAGCTGGTCCCTTAACTAGTGAACTTGCTGCCTTTGGCCCTCAGGGACACCAGCTGGTCCAAACAAAAGAAACAAAGGAGGCACCTAAACTTGTAGCCCTTCTGCAGGCTTCAGGAGAGGTCCTTTCACTCTGCCCCTTCCTGTTGGTGAGCTTCCCTGGGTTTCAGTCCACCTCCTGCTTGTGGACTTCTTCCCTCCAGCTCTCCCTCTCCGTGGGGCTTTTAACTGCCAGCAGATACTCCCTGAGTGGCTAACTGCCCATAGCTAGGGTCATAGCACAGGCAGTCTGCTCCCTCTTAAAGGGCCTGACTTTTCTTTTACACCCCAAAAAATTACACAGATAAAACCTGGTGGCAGCATGGGCCCCAGCAGCTACTGGATGGTCCCACTTGTCCATTAAATTTCAGGGCAACATGAAAAGCCTCAAAGATGCTCTCTGTCTTCAGGCTCAAGGCAGACATGAGGCAATCCATGGACTCCTGTTCCACCTTTGTGAACAACCTGAGAGTTTTTTATATGCTCAGCAAAGTCCATCTAGCATTCCTGGGTCTCTGCAGCTCAAACAGCAGCATGCTATAACTCCTTCATCCCTTGCCTGACCATCATCAAGCATTGACAGTGGTATATCTGCTCTTCCTCCCTTCATTGCCTAGCCTGCACAAGCCAGGAGTGGCTAGCCTCCACCAGAAAAGTCAGTATGTCCATCTTTGCATGGACACAGGAAGCTTTCTAGGCACCAGTCTTTGAGCTCACCCTTGAGCTGTTTTCTGGTCCTGAGGTACCATTGCTGCTATTTGCAGGCATTGGGCCTGAAAGTAAAGGACGATGAACACCATTGCTCTAATAGCATGAAGAACTCCCCAGCCCAAGTTGCAACTTGCAAGGCCATCCCGTCAGCAGACAAGCTCACTTACCCTGCAGATTCTCAATATGGTAAGTTCACTCTTTCTTTTGCTCCCTAGAGACCCAGGAAAGTGGGGGATATGTTTGGGCAGCCATGCACAAACAATCCTGGGGTACAGCAACTCCCATGGGGGCTGTGAAACACAGGAGGCTAGCTGAGATGGGTGGGGGTAAGGCTATGCTTGGTGAGGCATACTCTGTTCCTTTAGGTTAGTGCTGGGGTCTGTTGCCTTGGGACCTCCTAACACCCTCTGTCTATATCAGTCACAGGATGCCAGCACCCTGGCACATATCACCCTGATCCATCTGATCCCACAGCAGAGGCAGCACCCTTTCATTGCTGAGCAAGGCAGTCCTCCAGTCTTTGCTTGCCTCTTACTGCAAGAGATGGTGGTCCCTGATGACTGACTCCTGGAGAGGGCTGCATGGTACAATGGCTCACCAGTGCATTTGGCTTTTCCATGGAATATCAGGGAATGCCTAATGGTGTACCTCACTACCCACTATGAACACCTTGCATGGCCTGATTGGGACACAATAAGGGGCATAATTAATCTATGTCAGCCAATGACTCAAAAAGGTTGCAGGCAGGTGGCCACTGCACTGCTGGAAATGCACATCTTGAGAATTAAAACGAAGCAAGCATCCCCCCTCCCAATCTTGCAGTGCCCACGGATGTTAAACTCCACACTAATGGTTTCCCACTCAATGGGACCAGATGCAAGAGGGAAGCCATCTATGGTCTCAATGGTCTCTGACTTAGACTGCCACTGTAATGGGATTTGTAGGGCCTGGGGCATGGCCTCATCAATGAGCCACCCTGAAGAGGACTGTGGGTAAGGTGGGCAGCTGTTTAATTGTGTAAATGGCACTGTCCATTTGCCAAATCCTACTGATTTCAATATGAAAGAAACAATTTCAGCTGTTTTAAGCATACTGAATAATTCATGTGAGAACATCCGTTCATACCTCATTAATACTGGTTACTTTGTAATTTCATAGAATCATAGAGCAGTAGGGCTGGAAAGGACCTCAGGAGATCATCTAGTCCAACCACAGTCATCTCTATTCAAACCATCCCATGCAAATCCTTGCCTGACCTATTACTAAAACTACATGGTCAACCCCATCATGCAGTAACAAGGCATAGTACCCTAACCTGCCACACACAAAACAGGGAGACACGAGAGACCAGTATCCTACTGTGGCAAAGGTTCTTGAAGTGGACTTGGATAGTGCTATTTACACAATTGAACAACTGCCCACCTTACCCACAGTCTGTCTCAGAGGCTTATACTATACCAACCACTTTGCCCTCATGCCATCCAATAACTTGGTAGGGCAGTACAATGCTCCCTGTTTTGGACCCCATGAGATACCAAATGTAAAATTTTTTTTAAATCTCCATTTTGTTGAGACTATATATTTTAGTGGTTGTGACAAGAGTTGGCAAGAAGCTAATAAACTCTGTGAGCCAGCAAAATGGATCCTGGAGGGGCTAATAAAGGATTAGGGGATGATAAAAATGCAACTCATCACCTACCTCCTGTTAAGGTTTAGGGGGAGGCTTGAATCAGTTCAAAACTGGCCCTCAGGAGGCACATTTGTTTGATTACAGCATGAACCTTGTAACAAGTATTCCAGACAGACTTCCCTGCAGTCACTCGTAAATTCTCCTGGCTGAACTGATCCTGTGTCTGAGAAAGTGACAGCTGAATCTTTCTTTTATACAATGAATTCAAGACTGTTCAGTAAAGAGGGTGGGACCACAAGCAGAAGATCTATAGGTGCCTAAATTATTGTTGTCACCTGACAACAATTGCAACAATTGTTGCAAACAATTTCTGTTTTTCATTCCAAACCCTTCATTGAACAGCCTCATAACTTTCCCCAAGTCTTGTCTTTGGTTGAAACTTCCTACAATGGTCTCAGCCCGAAAATATATGTATAGGCTTTTGTAAAGGTTGAGGAAAATTCCTACAGTGGAACATGAGGGATAAATTCTGTAGAGGGAATATTGTTTTGCTTTATTCAATAAAAATAACTAGACTTTCCAGCTTCAAACTCTGCTTGTCAGATAATCTCTGTCTTCCACTGCCCTGATTAGCTCTATCCCATCTCACCCTAGCCACCATTTCCTGTTCACGTTAGTTTCTAGATTTCTCAGGTGTCTTACCTCACCTCTTTCTGCTTTCAGGAAAGCTTTCCTGACAGATCTCTTATCTCCTTTGCCCTTTCCTGACTTTGTGCTTTCTTTCACAATGCTCCTCAAGTTCAGAGGGTGTTCCTGGCTGATGTGATTAGGAGGCAGCCAGGGATTGGGCTGCTCTGCTCTGTCACAGGCTCCCTCCCTCCTTGTTGCTGGGCATGTCCTCTGCATCTCATCTTCCTATCGGAAAAATGGGAAAATAGCACTGTCCTACTGCACAGAGAATGTTCAAGATGATGAGTCCCTATGTGTACTATACAAGTGCCTATG